AGAAAGGTGCCGGCCCGTTTCTCAGGGGAGAGGTTCGTGAATGGGGACTGCTGTTCTTTATTTCCCAGATTGCTGCCATCTTTTCAATCCACCTTCAAGCAGGATTCTGCCAATTGTGCTTCATTTTTTAATCTCCGTTTGCCCCAAAGGGACCCTGGAGAATAATCTACATTTGCCCTAGGCGATGGGTTGGAGGGGATGTGGGAGCGGTGAGCAAGAAATGGTGACTCTCAGTCTCAGGAAGGGCCAGCTTATTTGGTATATTCCACTTTTTAATGGGAAGGGAAAAAATAGTCCAGAGGCCTTGTTGCTTTGCTTCCGTGTTTTTAAACAGAGCAGTTGTATGTGACTTTGATCCCATGTTCCTTTTGGTTTCGGTGAAAAGGGGGCCCAAGCTCCTCAAATGTAAGCATGTCCTACTGAGGAAATAAACAAGGTCCGGCACTCGTTGTTCTCACGTTGGGAAACTGTCTGTTGCTGCGGCCATGCCTCCTGGGCCCTCATTCTCAAGGCCATCGGGTCAAAACCAGCTCATGGCAGCCTCCGGGGGTCCCGGAGGACCGGGGTACCAGCAAGTTTTCGATGGCAAGGTTTTCAGAAGTACGTAACCAGGCTTTTCTTCGGACGGACTTCAAGGTGAATGCAAACCTCTCACCTCCTAGCTCGCAGCCAAGCATGCTAACCATTGGCTCCACACAAAAATGCCTCCCCTCATTAACTCACTGCCATCAAGTTCACGCGGACTCATATTAGATCCCTGCATTTCGTCCACGTTTTCTAAGTAGCTGGCTAAGGTCTCTAAATAAGAATAGAAGAACTGGTTCAAGGTGCACATGGTCTGTCCTTTAGCTCGAGGCGAATTCAATAGATTGTCCTTCTTGGAAAAGAGCCATATTTTCCATCTCAAATCAATGCTTTGGCACTAACGTTCATCAGATGCCATGAAAGATACTGTGTGCTTGGAACTCCCTGCTGTGGTCTTGGGTTTATGATTAAACCCTATAGCCTGGTGTGCAGGAAATTCAGCTCCCCCAGATGTATTATTGGTCTAATCTTCCTTTGAGTATTGTCCTTGATCTAAGAATAGCATTTCAAAAGGAAACGTGTTTATTTTAATAGACTTTCTATTTTTTTTTAATACTGAAGTCACAAAGGCCAGTGCAAGTTTACAAAGGCAATGCAACAATTTGGGGAGTTGGTTCTGCTATGAGGACACAATGTCTAAAATATTTTTTCTGAAGTTGATATAAATTTGTAGTAAACCAGCAAAAATAAATAATAAGAGAATGAACAGAGATGACCAGTGAATTGATATTGAAGTGGGACATGTACTGGTTTGAATATCAGTGAAAAACTTTTTTGTTGTTTTTTATTTGTTCTAAACCATTTTATTATACAGATATAATGTCATTCTATAGTTCAATCACACCAAGCAGGATTATACAATTGCTACCACAATCAGTTTCAAAACATTCTTTTCCTTCTTGACCTCCCTGACATCAGCTCCCTTTTACTCCCTGCACCCACCACCGCCACCACTGTACCCCCAGAAACCTGTATTCTACTTGCTGTCCCTATAGGTTCATCAGTGAATAACTTACAGTATTAATTAAAACAAA